GACCCCCTACCCGCACAGCGCCTTCCTCCACCAGCGTCCCCAGGCCCCTGACCGTCCCACACGCCCCGGGAACCCTGGACTGCGTCCACAGACCCTGAGCCCACAGACCCCTCAAATCTCGCCCCTGTGCTCTCTTACCCCAGCCCATCCCCGACTGCGCCCCAGGCCCCCTGATTGCGCCTAGCGCCCCTTGACCTCGTCCCCAGGCCCCCAGACCGCGCCCACCCCTCCCTCAATCCACACCCACCAACAGGCGACACCCACGCCCCTCAAGGCCACGCCCCCCCGCAGGCCCCCCAAGGCCACCCTCGTCACCTGCAAGACCAGCCCAGGCGGAGAGTCCAGCCCCAGATGGCTCCCAACTCGCTCCTACATGGATCCCACATGCTTCCCCCAGCTTTCGGATAACCAAGACCTCCACTCAAACGCGGGCCGGGGGGCGGGAGTGGGGCGTCATGCCTCCGGGATGAAGGCTCTGCGGATGGATGGTACCCTTCTCCACCCCCCTCACCGTCTGTAACACTCCTCTGCCCGGGCCCCCACCCCAGAGGGGCAGTCCGGCTCTGCCTCTAGCTCATCAGCCTCTTCCAGGCGAGTCCTGCCTAGAAGGACCCAACCCACCAGGGCATTTGGAGAAGATCAGCCCCCAGCCCAACTCCTCCTGCTCTGCTGTGCCTGGGCTCAGGCTCAGACGCCTGGTGCTGAGGACCTGTCCCCACTGGGCCGGGACCAAGTGGGTGGTGGGCACAGGGCGATGCCTGCAGACAAGGGCCAGCAGCGTGCTGGGCCAGCCCCAGAGTCCCAGGATGGGTCAGCGGCTGGAGGGCTCAGGAGGGAGGTGGGAGTGTTAAGACTAGGGGTGCTCCAGGAGCCACCGAGCCCTGTCCCCACGAGAGGCTGCACCGGGTGCAGGCCATCTGGTCACGCTGGCACCTTCGAAGTGGACCTGGGCTGGGGCTCCCAGTGGAGCTAGAAGACCTGCTGCCCACAACCTGTGGTCAGACCTCACCAGGGCCCATGGGCTGTTCTGATGCCAGGAGCTGCTGGAGGGAGCACGCCCCAGGCCAGCTATCCCATGCGGTGCCCGTGGTCTGGCAGGTGGCTGCAGTCCGTGCCCCCTCCTGCATGGACTCAGAGGTGGCAGCCATGATGGGCGAGAGCAGGTAGGTGCCGTCCACTGTGGGGCTGGCCACTCAGCGAGGCCACCCCCTGCATGGGAGCTGCTGCTTTTCAAGGACTTTCACACAGTTCCTTGGAGCGTCACAGGACAGGCAAGGCTGGCAGGTGTGACCACCATGCGTCCCTTTCACCCGAGAGGCTGGGGCCTTGGCCTGGCTCTCACTCACCTCCAGCCGCTGCCCTTGCCCTGGGGCTGTCCCATGGCTCTGGCCAGCCCTTCTCAGTGGGGTGAGCCGGTGCCAAGCCCCGTCCCCCATGTACTGGAGCCGGTGAGTCAAACTTCAGGTTTCCCAGGCCAGGAAGGGCTAGGGTAAGGCCAGCCTGCATGTTTGCTGCAGCTATAGCTGGTGGGGGAGGGAGAGAAGGAGTCTCAGGATGGGGTAGGGATGTGGGGTGAAGGGGGGACTCCCCGATTTTCCCAGCCTCCGGGGCTAAAGGTTCCCAAGCAGCCACAGCCCAACCCAGAAGTGCAGGCACCACCCTGCTG